TTTCATTGCTCGAAGATCTGTTCCTTCTCTTTCTGGTTGACCGGTTTCAGTAATATGAGATGTATTCACCCAATTTCGTTTAAGGGGATGTAGGACTGGTAGAAGAAGAATTTTCCCACAATGAGATGAGTTGAGCTGACGTTTCCATTAATTTTTCACATAGCCTTGCTACTCATCTCATATTACTGATTTACTGGTAGTCACGAAAACAATACTTAATTCGAAAATTAAAGTATAGTAGTCGATTTTTATAGCAGATATACATTTGCTTCATCGTCAATTCCACCCAGATAATATGATATGACAAAAAAGGGCCTGGTATTCCTTGAAAATTCACATTTGCCCTGTGACCCAAAAGGCGCTCATGGCAGTGTCAAGTTCCCATCCTGCACTGTCGCGGTTCGACTTCCGCTGAGGGTGATTATAAGACCGATGCGAGGTCGAAATTGCAGTCAACTCCCCATTGAATGGTCAAGTCCCGCTGGGGGTGTTGATAAGACCGATGCTAGGTCGAAACTGCAGTCCACTTCAGTCCACTGTCGCTGTTCGAATCTTTCTGAGGGTGTTGATAAGACCAATTCGAGGTCGAAACTGCAGTCCACTGTCGCGGTTCGAATCCCGCTGAGGGTGTTAACTGCAGTCCACCTCGGCCGTCGCGGTTCGAATCCCGCTGAGGGTGTTGATAAGACCAATGCGAGGTCGAAACTGCAGACCACTGGTGCCTAGGGATGAGAACAACTTTTGGGAAAGCAAGGCTATGTGAAATTCAATGGAAACGTCAGCTCAACTCATATCAATGTGGGAAAATTCTTCTTCTATCAGTCCTTCATCACCTTAAACGAAATTGGCTGAATATATCTCATATTACTGATTTACTGGTTGTCACGAAAACAATACTTAATTTGATTTAACCTGGTTCCAGTCCGTGTAGATTTCACTTTAGGCGCTATCTATCAAGGCGCTAGAGGCACGTACACTGCCGCTTCATTGAGCAGAGCGCCTAAGCTCTGATTCCCATGCTCACAGATATCAGGCCTTCCCTCCACGGCTTCTCTTCTCGATTAAACCCATGTTATCTGAGCAAACTGTGAACACCTATCTCTGCTCACATGCGGCATCTCAGGTGGACTTCTAGTGCATTTTGGCCATAACGCCGAATTTCCGTGACGGTTTGCTTATTCGTCTGCCCCGCTCCCTGACTGCCAGGCCCCCAAAGTTGTACTATTTTATTCAAAATGGACATCACTCACTGACAATGTCTTCGCTTGATTGCTGAAAACTCCGTCCCCACTTTCCTCATCGCGATAGATCTTTGATCCAGACATCTCCTTTTT